ACGTCAATAGAGTGGAGGGCAGATTTAAAGATTTTTCTGATTCCACAAGGCCTGATGTCGCACTGAGATCGGGCCTCGTGGAATCAGAAAAATCTCCAGTATAGCGGGGACCCGTCTTTCGTGACCAGATTAATGTTAAAATTAAGTTTCTCAGATTTGGGGCAGAGCAATTAGGCCCAGAAGCATGCCATGATTTGGGCCTGTTTTTCAGCCTTCCCATTAATTTCCTATGGGACGGCATTTCGCCCTTTTTCTTCGTTTATTTATTTATTTAATGCATTTTTCAGCATTCCTTTGAAGCCTTTCATGAATTTGCATATTGGAGCTGGACCACAGAGCACATTGTTCAGGGCAAAAACACCCTGAGGACAGTACAGACAAAGGTTCTGATGTTTTATGGTGACAGGAGTTGAAGTGCTGCATTCTGACTTCACTGAATGTCTTTCATCCGTCACATGAGCAATGCAGAGAAAAGGGAGTGGAGTTTAGCCCCATTCCAGCTCTGATTGCCATGCAGGCCCCTCAGGCAGCTGCTTAGTGCCGCCACAAAGCACACGTGGGAAGTTTTCAGCAGGTTTATTATGACCTAATTAAACAATGAGCGTCCTTCTTTATGCCCTTTGATTGCCCACCCCCCTATCTCACACACACTCAGCCTCTGCTGTGTGTCTGGAGGGCCCACTGTTACACGTTTCCTTATTTACTGTGAAGCCTCCATCTGACCACATGCTTTGCCTCCTCTCCTCTCACACAGCTAACTTCATGCCCTTCATCCTATCTGTGACCCCGGCTGGTGACCACATAGTGACCCTATGGTGTTACCATGGGCTCATCATACTAATAAAGATGAGAGGGAGCAAACACACACATTTTTCGAAGTGACATTTGGGCTTAACCATTTCAAAACTTTATATATTAAAGAATAATACGTGTGTGGTGGTAAGCACCGTCGCCTCACAGCAATAAGGTTCTAGGTCAGAGTCCACGGGGGAACCAGGACCTGTCTGCCAGAAGGTTCTGGGTTGGAGTCCCCGCGGGAACCAGGACCAGAGGGTTCTGAGTTGGACTCCCGGGGGAACCAGGACCTTTCTGCCAGAGGGTTCTGGGTTGGAGTCCCTGGGGGAACCAGGACCTGTCTGCCAGAGGGTTCTGGGTTGGAGTCCCGGGGGAACCAGGACCTTTCTGCCAGAGGGTTCTGGGTTGGAGTCCCGGGGGAACCAGGGCTAGAGGGCTCTGGGTCTGAGTCCCCTGGTTCAGGTTAGGGTTAGGTGGGTTGTGGGTCCTTGTGTGTCTGTGTATCCCTGTGATGGACTGGTGGACCGTCCAGTAGAGGTTTTCTGCCTCTAAAATGTACTGTTCTGTCACTTACTCAGACACTATTGGTCGACCCAGGCTTGTCTTACATCATTGCGTAGGTCGGTTTTTCAGCTTTCAGCCAATGTGACCCGTGACCTGCTCACCCAGCTTCATGAAAGATGAAAAGTCAGAGGTTAAGAGGGGACATTTCCCGGGTCTTTTGTGAATCTTTTACCAATGAAATTTGTCACTAATTTTTTCTCATTTTGAGTCACTCATTTTTGGTCTATTTAGCGCATTCAAAGAATGGCTGCTCCATTTTTTTATATCGGAAAAGGAAGTATAAGTGTGGAGAAAAACCGGAGACAGACAGCAGATATCCAGTTGTTTCTTTTTAATTTCACGAGACACCAGATCTGTTTTCCCTTCTGTGCAGCTAACAATCTCACAAATTCTTCAACTGAAAAAAAGGAGAAAATAATTTATACAACCTTTTTTTCTTTTAATCGTATCTACAAAAAATAAAATAAAAAACAGGACTAAGGCTTTAGAGAGAAATAAAGAACTCTCATAAAAAACTTGGGTGCGATCTCTCTATTCAGACGACATGTGAGCATGTGTTCTTCCTTTTAAAGATACTAAATTAAAAGACCAGACCATAAAGATGTATTTATGCATACAGTAGTCTGCACTGTGCAACATTTAAATAAAAAAAAGAATGAGTTAGAGCTTTTTTTTTTTGTCCCCCCCAACACCCAGTCCGAGCGTCATCAGGGTCCAGAGAAAGTGTAAGAAAATGAGGAAAAAGGGAAGTGCAGAGGTAGAGATGGGGGTGGGGAGGATTATAGAGGGGGATCCTGATCCAACCGACTCTTGTGAAGACAAGAATAAATGCTTCCCAGGTGGGGGGGGGGGGGGGGGGTTGAAACTGCAGCCCGTCTGAGCCCCCCCACCCCAGAAGTCAGCAGCCAAAAGGAAAAGAAGGCGTTAGCTTCAAGCCCTCTGAGGAAATACTCGGCTTTGGTTGAACCCTTCACAACAGATTTCTCCCTTAGTTCATTCAGAATCTGCTGCTGTGAAGGAAAGCTGCATTTCACTGAGCGGCCACAGAGTTTCTTTCCCCTCTGAAAACGGCTCAAACCAAACACCTCCAGTGTTTTTGAATGAACAAAAAGCTTAAAAGAGGGGTGAAAAAACACCCTGGAACTCATTAATAACCTCAAAAAGTTTAAATGATGCAGTCCAAGAAGAAAAACAAAAGAAAAAAGAGAGAAAAAGCACTTGGTCTTCGGGTGCATCTCCAACCGGACGATTAATACTTCAAACGAGAATCAGACTCATTCTAACAGCACTTTCACGTCTTTGCATTAAATAAAAGGCTCCACTTCATCAGCTCCACCTGGAAACCCGCGACAAATCCCATAATCGCTGGGAATGGGGCGTCGTTTCGGTTTCTGGGACAGCACTGGGAGTCCTGGTCTTCTGGGCAACAGGAAGCCCGACCGGCCTCCGTTTGAGAGCCCACCGGAGGTCCTGACCCAGAGGAGAGGTTGCCAGGTTTGGAGCCTGCCGACAATCCTGCGGTGTGTGTTTTGGGGTCTCTGTGCGCAAACATCAGAAGGGAGCTGCACGTTGGTGATGAAAAGGACGACTTGCTGAGCTTCTGAGGCAAAACATCCACCTCCTGCTCAGAAATCCCCCTTTTTCTTTTACCAGTGAGAGAGCTTCTTCTCATCGTGAACTGAGTGGCAAAATGCTTTGTAAAAAGGGGGCGGGGGGGGTAGTGTTAGCGCCGAGCTGAACAGCTTCTTCGTAGCTTAGAAGAAGGCTGAGGTTTCCCCCCCGGAGTGAGCTCACGTGAGTGTTTCCGGTGTGTGAGTGTGTGTCTCCTAACCCAGTGCAAACAACCTGACTCATAGTCCGGTGAACTTAGTGTAAAGCAAGCAGTGGAGGGCCAAGGATGGATGTGGGGGGGGGGGGCTGAATCCCCCCCGGTACCTGATCTGTCCGCCGACAGAGAGATGCATTGTGGGTAAAGTGCTGGGGTGACTGGGTCCCTGGGAAAAAGCTTCCTTAAATTAACATTTCATTTCTGCTCCGTTCCTTCAACCGGAGACCTCCTCCCGGTGTCGTTTTTCCTTCACAAAAAAATCCAACACGGCCTCGTTCTTAAGCCCCTCCCTCTCTCACAGCCTCCGGTCGGCCAGCGAAAGCGAGGGGGGGGGGCAGATTCAGAACCCGGTCGACAGGACTTTGGCCTCTGCCGGGCTTCCCTCTTTCCCTGGTTGAGGAGCACAGGAGAAAAAGATCAGATCAGAAGGGGTTTTCTTTTTTCTTCAGGCTTTTATAGACCAGTGTTTTTCAACCACTAGTGTGCTGTGAGTGATGGTCAGGTGTGCCGTAGAAAATCATCCTATTTCACCTAATTGGTCTAAAAAGATTTTTTGATAAGGAATTAATTATCTGCAAATAATATGCCATTTTTGAGTGTCTGTGCTGTTCTAGTGACTGGTGGAGTAATCATGTAATAATTCCTTATCACTAGATTTTGTATATAATTTTGTATATAGAAGTGGACATGTTAAGTGCAATTTGAAAGAAGAAATATAAAATATGATAAAAATACATTTTTTGTTAATTTAATTACTACTCAAGACACTTAAGATAAGATAAGAATAAGTATAGTGTTACTATAGGCGGCTACAGATTTGTTTAACATTTTTGGTTGGTGGTGTGCCTCGTAATTTTTTCTATGAAAAAATGTACCTTGGCTCAAAAAAGGTTGAAAAACACTGTTATAGACCACATCTCTTCGCACTCACCGTCGCCGGAGCTGCGGTCCATCGAGGGCGTCCTGGAGACGGTTGCCGAGCAACACCGCTGGTCCTCCGACGGCCGATTGGCTGAGGACTCTCGGAGAGTCTCCAGCAGGTGGTGGTGTTCCTGCTCAATCTCCTGCAAAAGCAAAAAACAGATAAAGAACCAGCAGACTACCAAAAAGTTCCGTTTTTTTATCTTCACGAGGAAGGAACAAACTCTTTTTGTTCTCATCTCCCAGAAAATGACCCTCTGTGGAGGGCGGCCATCAAAAACGATCAGATCTGAATCGGATCTGAGGAGGGACCCCGAACTGAGCTGCAGGTTTTGGAGGTTTCCCTGCCTCTGATTCCCACCAAAGCCCCACTGGCAGGCGGCTTTTCGGAGATCTATCCAATCAGAACGATTGTGGCAAACCTCCAAAACCTTCCGGGACTCGAGGGAGCGGACTCCCAGATGTGGTTCGATCTGGTTTCATTCAGGTTTTGGTCTTTAGACTATTAACCATCTCTCTTTTTCTTTAGTTTTTCTTCTCGAACTACATCATTTAAACTTTCTGAGATTATTAACTCATTGACTGGCAGCCATTTTCAGAACAGAGAGGCCCATACTGCCAGAGTTTTTTGAGCATTTTGACTGATTTTTCAAGAGCCACAGAATAGTTTGTGCTATGACTATGTAAACACCGAACACACCAAAATAAAGAGTAGACTCTCTTCTTTCATCAGGAAAAATTTTTTGTTTCTACCTTATTCCATTCTTCCTGGACTTGCGTCTCAGCGGCGACATGTTCTCTCATAGAACCGTTACCTTTTTCTTATTTGCCTACAGTCTATGCTCATCTCCCACCAAAAGTGGCACTGCCACCTAGAGGGTCAATTTGTTACTACATACTTTGTGTAGAAGCCGATATTTACGGACAAGCTTTAGCAGATCGTTCCCCAGACACTCTCGTTGAAAAACATAAAAGACCTCTATAGACGTCTTTGGCAGTCAATGAGTTAATGAGTTCCAGGGTGTTTTTTCACCCCTCTTTTAAGCTTTTTGTTCATTTAAAAACACTGGAGGTGTTTGTTTTGAGCCGTTTTCAGAAGGGAAACAAACT